CATCCACCGCATAATTGACCCCAAATCGCAGGCATAATTTGCCCTATCGCATCGCATAATCCTGGACACCCTAGTCCATATAACTAAACCCACCAGGAGTCTAAACACTTTTGCAGTAACGTGATGTGACGCATGAGAAATAACCAATTGGGATGCGATTGTTTCTGATCAGCCTGACGTCAACCAAAACATGTGCGCAAGAAGGCAAAAGTGAAAAAAATGAAAATATTCAAAAACTAGCATTTAAATCGGCCTTCAGGAGCGTAATTTTACATACAGGGATGAATTTTCAAGGCCTATAACCACGAACCCTAACCGGAAACATAACATAAAGCCAAAAAAGTTTATCCAAATATGCCACAATACGTCACATCACGTTACTGGTTCTACTGGCGGAGTCTAGCTGATATGTTCAAATAAAACCTTAAAGCCTTTTTTGTAGTAAAGTCTATACCAAGAGTAAACTAGTCTAATTACAGATTAACCCTGAGTCACAAATTTCAAATTTGGAAGGTTTGTGCAACGAAAATTGTCCACCATGCTACCCTTAAAATATGCCACATACTTCGGCAATAACGATACTGTAACACCTAACTTTAACGTTAATTCAAAAACCGTAACGGTAATACCAATTAAATTCGATGGAAATACAAAATTTTATATCCTGTGGCAGGACAATAACGATAAATGTGATTAGCGCATATCGTATTTAGTAGGTAGGTGCGTACATACATACGTGCATACGTACGAAGTTTATTGTTATATTGTGAATATCATATGATTCATGCAATTTACGTAAACATGATAGCCCATTTAACCATTAATGTTACGACCCTACCCGTAATTTAAATTCTTTGTTTAATAAATGCTAACTTAAAGTGTAAATTATTATTATATAGTTTATACGCAACAGTTCTAAACTACGTACGTACATACGTACGTACGTACGTACTTCCCCGGAGTTAAGAGTTAGAATTTCATTTCCTACTAATATGCAAAGTTTTCCTAATATGTACGTACCGTGATGTTGGGAACTTTTAATTTGGCTTAATTAATTATTAGCGTTAGTATATTCTGTTTCCCTAATTTGGTTCTTTTTCATAAGGTTAGAAAATGCACAGACTATCTTCCTTATTTTTTATGAACCAATAAGAGCGTTTCCTATAAATAAAAAAATCATTCGATTTATTTTATAAAAAAAAAAAACTCACTCTATATAGTTAGTAGTTCAAAGATGGATGGAAAGATGGATGGAATTATTTCAAGATACCTTAAAAACTTTGCTACTAGTATGGCATTTCTTGGATCATTCCAATGTAATCTTTTATACCTTTCAGATTATCCAGATGGGTCAAGAGAATATGTATGAGTGTAAAAACATTTCGATTTGTTTTCTTTAATATTTAGTTTTTAATTTGCTATTTAAAAAAAAAATAATAATAATAAAAATAAGGTCCCAAATCCATCAGATTATGGGATTCAACATGAAGAGGTTGAGTTAATTACACAGGATAAAGTAAAAATCCGAATTTATGTTTTACAACAATTTAATGAGCAAACAGCACGTAGGCGACCTACTATTTTAACTTTTCATGTATGTACTTAATTATTTTCTGACTGTTGTAGGAATATAATTTATCTCTTTTTTTTTTTTTTTTTTTTTTTTTTTTTTTTTTTTTTTTGGGGTAGCGGGTAAATTGTTTATATTTTTTGTTTTTTTTTATTTTTTGCTATTTTTATCTATTATGTATAGTACTTTTTTACTTTTTTTTTTTTTATTCATTTTTTTTTTTTTTTTAAAATTTTTTGGTATATATTTTTTTTTTTTTTTTTTTTTTTTTTTTTTTTTTTTTTTTTTTTTTGTAGGGCAATGCAGGAAACGTTGTAATATATCTACGTTATCATTAATCTCAAGAATAGTTACCTATGATGATTAGAAACTTAACAATTATTATGATTTTAAATAAAGGGACATTGCATACCGATTGCTGAGCGATTCTATAATGATTTCAGATGTAATGTTGTGATGCTATCTTATAGAGGGTAAGAATATTGTCAAATATTAACCATTCATCTTTAATAATTTTATTTAACATTCAACCTATTGTAGTTATGGTCGTAGTGAAGGAACCCCATCAGAAAGGGGTCTCAAAA